CCTTCCTTCCTTCCTTCCTTCCTTCCTTCCTTCCTTCCTTCCTTCCTCCTCCCTCCATCCCTTCCTTCCTCTCTCCATCCCTTCCTTCCTTTGTTTCCATATAACAATAGCATGCCATTATATAAGCATGTATCAGGAACTTGATTAATGTTGGTAGGTATTACTGCCATAAATCAAGCCAATCTCTGGCATTTGTAATTCCACAAATGAATGAATAGAATAAGTAGATAAATGTAATAAAAGAACATGTGGGGCAACTTCGTTGTGAGTCCTCTCGAGCTTCAGGAAGCTCTTTCTGTGCTTCTCAATAAATCTTCTTCATTATCCTGTTAAAAAGTTTCAAAAATGATAGCTGGAAAATTTAATTTTAACTATATGTTTGGAACTACTCAAAGGAAAATTATGTAAATACAGCCTCAAGTCATAATTTTATTGATTGTTTCCTTCATTATATGTATGTGTGAACCTTTTACTTAATATTAATTAAGACAGGGTTATCAAACAAATATAGAACGTTACTGCCAGTTACAGAAATAATGACTGTGGTTCATAAAACTTCTAAGACTCATTAAGAAGAAATATAATGGCTTGAGCAGGTAAAGGACGGGGGTCATTTAAGTTGCTACTCTTTTCGTAATGTCATAATTTCTAACTGTAGTGAGAATTTTGGTTTCTTAAAAAAACCAGTTGTTATGTGAATATGTTTTGTTTTAATCCCAGGTGTGGGGTGGGCTATGGGGCTGCTTCCGATTGTCTACAGCTGCTAACTATGATTGTCCTTGTGCTCTAGGAGGGGTGTGATTTTTGCCAGCTGGAGATAGTTTACAGGGACTCTTGAGAGTGTATACATGTGAGACCTCTAAGAGGGCCTGGGGAGGTTGCTCTTTCCCTAGCTTCTCCCCTTGCTGCCCCTGGTTGCTGTTGTTGCAGTTTGTCAAGAGGTCATGAGCAAAAAGGAAGAGAATAAATTGGATATCCTGACCAAGAAGATTGGGCTTGCCCTAAGGAACTCAATGCCCCTAATCATAAGGAAGTAGACTAAAGAGATCTACACCCCCTTTCCCCTCTAACCTGTCTCTCCTACTTAGTGTTGTAGGAAGGGATTGGGGTGGATGAGGGAGGTAGAGATATAAAAACCCGATATAGTAGACCAAAAGATACGCCAAGATCTAACAAATGCTACATTTGCTTGGACAATATATAACTCATAGATATTGAACTCATAGGAGTCTAAATATAGACTAGAGAATTTTGGATTATTTTCCAAGCTTGAGACAATGAGGGTGGGAACTTGGCAATGGTAGGATATCTGTCTCCAGTATCTTCTAAAGCAGCGGTTCTCAACCCCCTTTTGGGAGGGAATCACATATCAGATATCCTGCAAGTCAGATATTTATATTATGATTCATAACAGTTGCAAAATTACAGTTATGAAGTAGCGACAAACATACTTTTATGATTGGGGGTCACCACAACATAAGGAACTGTATTTAAGGGTCACAACATTAGGAAGGTTGAGAATCACTGAACCTTAGAATCTAACATATTTAAAAGATTTCAGAGAATTGCAGGGGGTGGTGCTGTGAGTGCATAAATGCTTATAGTCTAACAGAACTACTGACTGGTGAGGCTCATACACTTGGTATATCCTGCTTGGTGTTCTGTCCTTCCGTCTTCTCTGACGCTCATGTAATACTAGTGGTACTGGGTACAGGTCTTACCTCAAACTGTATATATCTCAAAAGACCCTTCTTCTGAGCAAACGACTTGATGTATTCCTGGAGCTTGCTGTGATGCATGTAGTTTGGGAAATCATCAGGATAGGGGAAGTCTGGAAAACACATCATCTCTTTGGAAGAGTTGGTGAAGACCGACTGGTAAATGCTGGCTCTTCCTTCCTCTGCGTGACTCTAGGAAGAATAACAAAACTGTAAAAACAAGCCAAGAATGGTGCTCTTTTCTGAGAATATTTAAGTCTTGTTTGATCAAATCCCTTTTAATATTAAAAATTAATAGTTCTCTTGTTTATTACTTTTCTTCAATGGCATCTCTCATTGGGTATGCTAACTACACTTAATGGCATTCTTCATGCCAAGAAGTAGATGGCCAACACAAAAAACTTAATTTTTTTTGGTAGATCAATCAGTCTGTCTGTCTGTGTGTCTGTCTGTGTGTCTGTCTGTCTGTTTACCTATCTACCTACCCACATACCTAACTTTCTGGTCTTTTGCCTGTGTTATGGTTTCTAATTTTGTGTTTTTATGCATTTTGTTTGTGTTTATGTGTTTGCTTCTTTTTTTAGCCTGATTTTTTTTTTGCCCATTTGCTTTCTAAAGAGAAAGAAAGAACAAAAGAAAGAAAGCAAAGGAAGGAAGAAAGAGGTTGTGGAGTTGGATAGATAAGGAGGTGCAAAGGATTTGAGAGGAGTTGGGGGAAGGAAACCATAATCAGAATGTACTGTCTGATTTTTTTCAATAAAAAATGTATGAAAAGCATAGTTCTTTTTTTCAGATATAAAATAGAAAGCCCTTTACATAGGACTGCATAGAACTGATCCGTTTTTACATTAACCATCCTCACCCAATTAACCTAGTGCTAGTTCTTCTATAGTCTCTCAGCAGTTTCCTTCTTTTTTTCTTGTGTTGTCACTGGTTCAGATGTCATGCTCACTTTGAAAAACCAACAAGGATTCAACAGTCCAAGCAATGTGGCTTTTCTCTCATGTAGTTCCTACATAAACATCAGCACCCTCTCCACTGGAGACAAAACCCACGGTGTTACCCAAAGTTTATCCACTTTGATATAATCAGAATTATCAGAAATTATCCCCAACTGGAGATTCCTGAGTTTCATTTCCAAAATCATGGATTCCTGCCTCTGATGTATGGTCTGAGAATTTGCATTTCTAAGAATTTGCAGAGGAACCAAGGGTGGGTGATTTCACATTTTGGGAAACTCTGTTATAAGTGAAGTGTGTCCTTGAGGAGCCTTTAACTCATCAACTATGGGATTCATTACACACACACACACACACACACACTACACAAACACAAATCACACATACAAGCACCACACACATGTACAGAAACATACCACACACATCTCACACACACTACACAAACACAAATCACACATATAAGCACTACACACATACAGAAACATAACACACACATATCACACACACATACACACATACACACACACTACACACATCACGCACATCCATACACACTACACACACCATACACATATACCACATACACACAAAACACCACTCACACATACATATACCACACACACTCATACACACATATGCTCACCACAAACACATATCACACACATGCACCACACATACACCACACATATCATACACACACCATACACATATACTACATACACACTACACACATATACCACACACACGCCACACTACACACACCACACACACACCATACCACACACACACATTATACACACACATACACACACACACCACACACACACACACACCACATATACATCCCCCACACACACCACACCACACACACATATCACACACAAACACCACACTATACACCACACACATGTCATACACGCATCACATATATACCACACAAACATATCACATACATACTACACACATACATCACACACACACCACACACCACACACCACACACACCACTCCCTCTCCCCCTCCCCCAAGGAAAACTGCAGAACTTAGAACACGTGTCACTTCTTGGCATTCGATTTTAAAGCCACTGTGTAATTGAAAAGCGTCTTCTTGGTGAGAAGCAGTCAGAAGCTAAATTGAAAATAAACATTTCCTGTCTCTTGTGTGGACAGGATAAAAGTGTACACAGGGTGCTGCCTTCAAAACATAATTCAACGCTGGCAGCCTCTATGTTCCCAAGGCCTGAGGGTATTCTTATGTAACAGAGGAGACAGACACAGTGTCATATTGCTGGATACAAGATCCCCATCTCTCTCGCACCCTGGATAGCCCTGGGAAGATGAAGACAGAAAGATCTAGAAAGGATCTTGAGGTCTGTGTCTCTGAGAGGAAAGGTCAAGCTGAGGCCTCAGTGTCTCCTTTCAAGTTGAGAATGTTCCTTTTCTCTACCCATGGTTGCCACATTTCTCATAAATTTAGAGGCTCGAAATTTAAAAAATCTTTTTAAAGGCTTGCTTGTAAACATTTGTGGATGTCAGAGAAGGGGTGAAGGTCCCTGCGTGACAGGTTCTGGGGTCCAAGCCACTGCTGTTCACTCAGAGTGCTTCCTGTTGCCAGACGTGGGGTGAGGAGGGAAGGAGATGTCTCAGCTGCCCATTGAGAGGAGGGAGGGCTTAGTTGTGGACCAGGGCCTGGTTAAAAATATAAGACTATGCTCTGGAAAAAGGGGTGATACAGCCTGGAATTATTTTCAAATTGAATAAATCCATGTGTCTTCCCACACCCACCTCTTGGTTCTAGCTAATTCAAACATGACAACTTGGAATTTTCTTCAGACACTGTTCTTCAAATAAGGGAAAAATATAACAACAAACAGTTGCTTCAAAACCCATGCCTTTTCATTATTTCAATATGTGAGGTGGTTTGAACCAGTCAGGAGGGAATTAGGCTCCAGCTCTGCCTCAGGTTGAGAGATCATGTCCTAGAACTAGGGTCCAAGGTCTGGGGGTGCATTACCAGCACATTGGTGTGCTGTCTAGAGCTTCAACCTCTCTCTCTTTTGATTTAGATCATAAATGACTTAAGGACAAGGCCAGAGGCAAATTCCAGAATGTTCTCTGTATTTCTACAAGTTTGCCTTTATTGCCTCTCACGTTTCATGTCTGCTTGCCTGTTGAATGTCTGTTGGTGTAAATCAATTTTCCAACTCTAGTTCCAAAGCTGCTTCCTAAACTTGCTTTCTTTTTCTTCCTCTCATCAACTGTCAATTGTCTTTGCATCCACAACTTCTGTTGTCTTTACTGCCCTAAGTGCACAGTTGCTTATGTCATAGTTATTTTAATTGCTATGGCCACTGGTAGGTTTCTCATGTTTGAGGGAATGACCTCACACTATTGTACATATTCTAACAGGGCCTCAAACCTTAGTAGGACCCAAGGTCTTAGCACAACTGACTCAATGATGGAAGTACCATTCAGATTGTAAAACTCACCATGTAGACAACACCATCTGCCAAAACTGAAACAAAGACTAAATCCATTGAAATTCATATAAATTCCGGAAAAGTCTCAAAATATACTAAACTTGTATTTTAGCTTCTGTAGTTCTGCTTCTGGCTGTTTTTGTTAACTGAAGCATGTCAACCCAGAACATGGTTTTTGTATTTAAAGGGTCACCCTGAGAAAGGCTCAGTGCTACACTGGCATCCCAAACTCCCAGTGTAGTTGAAGGCGGGCTGATGAAGACATTCTATTGCCTTAAACCCATGTCCCAGCCATTCTTCTCTGGGACATATCCAACCAGTGCTAATGGCTTAGCGGGTTACTTTTTAAAAAAGGCATGAACTGGAGAGGGGTACTAGAGGGGGAAATGGGAAGTAGATATGGTCATATTTTGTTGTATGCACATGTGAAATTCTTAAAAATAAAGAAAAAAATTTAAAACACTGGTTTCCTAGTGTACTTATTACTTGACACTATGCCTAACATAGTACTCTACAGACTCTGGATGTGTCTGTCGAGTAGATGCAGGCATTAGTGAGGGAAAGCTAAGCTCAGATTATTCTGAAACTTTTTGTTTTCTTTTTTTTTCAGCCAAAAATGATCCTAATCTATTGCTTGTTTGTTGAGAAAATTGTTATTGCTGTGTTTGACCATGTTACCAAATTCGGGGTTGTAATCTGTACTCCAAAAATTCAAGTTCAGCCACCTGTTCTCAAGAAGCCAGTTGAAACAGTCAAATTCACAGTAAGAGGCAGAAAAGGAGACTTAGTCAATGTGGCCACTGGGAAGAAGGACACTGAGAGCTAGTGATGTCCTCCAGTCCTTCTTACAAGTCCTGAAGTGAGATTAAAGTTTAAACAGAGGACCTGGGATATGCAAATCTAAGCAGTCCAGGACAAAGTGGGGTCCTGCCCACCATTGATCCATCATTGTCTAGGCCCCAGTTTCATCATGGAAGGGGGCCTAGCAAGGGTTAAAAGCAGTTGGTACTATTAATTCTCTTTTTAGAGAGACAAAGGCGTCCAGTATTTTCCTTCTTCCATCATGAGATTTCTGGGAGGATTTCTATTGTCTATAGTCCAGTAGACTGAGGATACAAGTGTCTCTCTAGAACATCTTCATCTCCATCAGGACAGTTGCAGCCATGCCACCCTGAATGCACCAAAGTTCAAACGTGCAAGGTCAAGGGTCAAGTCTGGTAAGTACTTAGATGGGAGAAACTTCTTATTGTCAAACTAACCAAGTCTTTTAAGGACGTGTTGTCCTATTTGAGTGTGTGAAACCAGAAGCTCACTCACATTTAGTCTGCTAGTCTTTAAATCCCATTTGGATTCTGTTTCTTAGAAAAAGCACGTAGTGAAAAGTTCAGAGTGGTCAGGTTTCTGTCTTCTCCCACACCTTCCACCCAGCAGGGACTCACAAGATGAAAACTTATACAACACAATTTTCCAAAATTCCTGTAAGCAACTTTTCTTAGAAAAGAATGAAGGATTGGGCTTGAGTGGAGAAAACTAAAGTTTCAAGTATTTGAATGTATCACTCCTCCCCCCACCCCTCACACAGGGCATTCTGGTTAGAATTTTGCTTATATATATAACCTGATAGAAAAGAGACATTCTATCTTGTGGATAACCAGAGTCTATCATGTTTTGCTTCCTTACATCAACTTCCTGAGGAGATGATAATGGCTAACGCACAGATTCTTTCTTGGACGCAGAAGATCTAGTACCTCCTGTGTACCTTTTATAGATTGCTGATTTTTCTTATGATGCTGGTATTGGCTCACTGCCAGGGCATCTACATGACACTGGGCACCATTCACAGACCACGAAGTGAATAGTACTCTGGCATTGCATTACATAAAGCTCTACTTCCTTTGAGGACATCCTGCAGAATTTTCTCCTGACTTACGAAGATTTCAGTAGCTTTTATCCACTGATTTGACAAGAATTAAATGCTATCTTATTAACAACCTTTAGTCTGAGATACTTAGGGCAGCACATTTTATAGAATATGTACAGTACTGAGTTATGATCCATAGTCTCCTAGTGAGGTCTGGGATACCTACCCATAATCAAACATGATAAAATTTCTTCAGGGTAAAATAAAAGTGGGAATTAGCCATATGTCAATTTGGCTTATGTTTTTGATTTCACTGTTACTAGACTTCAAGTCACAGTTTGTGACCCAAGAAGCCAGGTTTGTCCATTCATCTTCAATAAGCCACTTGGGTCAGCCAAATTAATAGCAAAAATCATAAAAGGTGAATTTATTTAACGTGACCATTGGGAAAATGAACAAAGAGATCCAGTTTCCCCTCCACTCATCTCCAGGTTCCTAAAATGAGAATGATGCTTAAATAGAGGCCTAAGGATACACACATTTAAAGAGTCCAGGTCATGGCATGGTCCCACCCATCGCTGACTCATCATTATCTCTGTAAGGTTGTAAATCTCTTTCTTCTAGAGAAGAGCTTTCTCCTTGAATGGCCCAGACATTTCTCCTCTCAACTTGAGGTCTGGGGAAATCTCAATTTCTTGAAGTTCATTGTTTTACTAGTCTGGTAGCTAACGTGCCTCTTAGAATATACTCAGCTTCTCCAGCCTGGTTTTACCATATACTTCATGGTCAGATTACTCTCATCATTACCTCATGAAAGGTTTTGCTATCAGTTGAGTTCTTGTTTATTTGATATCAAAGAATTGTGGACTTAAGTTATGACACCCTTCATCAGTAGACTAGAAGCCACTGAGGTGTAATGATTGTGTCATCCTACTTGCTAGCAAAACCCAGACACATTCAACGTTCATGTAGTATCCAGTTCTTATTGATGAGATTGTAGACAGTTATATTATGATTTAATTTAAGCTGACAACACTTCTCTGGGGAATTATAAAGAAAATGGAATTCTCTAAAAATTCATTTTCAGAGTTGAAGATAAAATCTATGACTACATATTTCATGTAACACTTTGCCTTTAACAGGACCAAAACCTACAGAAAAATCTTGTGAGATGAATACAGAGCCATCCTAAATTAGTACTAAATTCTCTATCAGGGAAATATTTTTTTTCAGGTGGGCAAGAACTGAGACCAAGATAGAAGATGATGGTTGTTAGGCGAGTGTTGTGGATACACTATCTTTGATCCAAAAAAAAAAATATGTATCACTTACATGGAGTCACATTGACTGGAAAACTCAAGACAGGAAAGCTAGAAGTGCTCTCAAACCTGGCTTTGGAAACTTAAATGTCATATCAAACATTTTATGGCCATATTGTTTTTTAAAACTAGATAGCAAAAATCATAATTTTCTCTTCAGATTTAGAATTGACAATCTAATAACTACACACATGCTTATTAGATGATTTATAATTTATAAACTACCCAGAGAGACAAAGTTAGACATCAAATTATATCCTTTTGCATGCAAGGCACATTAGAGGCAATCTAATTTCCAATATCTGAATTTTATTGATGAGTTCTTGAGCTCCAGAGTGTGGTAGTCAACCGCCTAAGATTTATCTGTCTAGAAAACCTGAGTTTTAGGAGACAGAGCTCAGAATTCGAGTCTAGTCCAAGTATTTTAAAATAGTTTTGTTGGCATTTCAGAGGAATAAAGGATAGAGTCTCTGCAAGCACCTTTGCAAGAAGGTTGCTGTGTATTATTTTTAACTAATTACTGACATTAGCTCTCTATCAGTTTGGAGAATAGGACTCCAGCAGACAGATCTTGGTATGATTGATAGGCTAGAGACTAGAACCACATCACAAAGTTACTAGCTTTCTTTGAGGACATCCTTTAAGGTTGAATAAGCTCAGCCCCGTTGGTGTGAAGTCGTTTTGAGTGAACCAATATTACATGTTAGTAATATGAAAAAATGTTAGTGTGATAGAAGAGGACTTACCTTTCCAGCCCTGGGGCTTTTGGAATATGGCTTTCAGGTGCGAAAGAGAACCGATCAGGTGTGATTTGCAATGGAAACCATCTTTCTACCTTTTGTGTCCTAGAGATGTACTACTTACCGAAAATTTCCATAGGCCTCCAACATCGTTGCTTCTTTCAAAGCAGATGGGGTCCAGCCCTTCCTCCAAACAGCACCGTATTGCGGCCAAGCCACTGACTCCAGCTCCTACGATGGCCACTTTCTTGCCCATGATAGGCGGAATGAAAAGAAGAGTCCTCAAGAGAATGTCCTTTGACGCTTAGGGTTTTTCAGTTGAAATTATTAACCGAGTTTTGTGTGTCAGGATCTTCACCTTAACACAAGAAGACACAGGTACACATTAACAGTTTGTGTTTATTATGTACAATTCTGGTATATAATAAAATACTAAGCCTGCCCTTTTCGATTACTCCATTCTCTAAGAAATGACCAAGTCAGGGACTGCCACGCAGGCAGCACCGTGAAGATCACCGAATCGATGCTCAACACTTCCAATGAAGCTTCAGAAGCTGAAACTAGAAAAGCCCCTCCTATGTGAACCCGCTTGCATCAAATCCCTTCGGTGAATACCGAGTGCCTGATTCTCAGGGATTTTACCTCTGAACTACCCACCTCTGTTCCCCTTCCCAGAGAACCAGCAGTTCTCTAAATGTAGAAGAGAATGGCTTTTAATGTCTTTGGATGTAAAAAATGGAGAAAGGGGGCGGCGCTATTTTTCTTAAAGCAAAAATTCCCTTTCCTTTGTTCTTCTCATGGTGTAGAGCTCTGCTAAAACCTGGAAGAGAAGGATTGCGTGTGGTGGGAATAAGTGAACAACAGGAGGGCATGAGGGAACAAGTAAGAAAGGGGTGGAGGAAGGGCATGAATGGGGGCCCTTGTCCCTTGGCTCTTAAAAAATATACAATAGTGACTGATATGGTCACTGGGCTGTAAAGTGAAACTCTGGGAGATTAAATAACCAATAATTCTTTCCTTTGTTCTTGCTTTGAAATGACAGAAAATGTAAACAAAACCTGAGCACCTGGACTATAAGAAAAGAATTTGTTGGGCCATCAGTGGGGGTGAAAAAACAATAAACTTCAAACTTCTCAAGACTTTAGACAGCTTGATTTGGGTTGCCGATCTAATTCTTGCAGGTTGTGAAACTGACCAATGTGAAGAGCACCCTGTGAAGCCAGGAGTCTGCTCTCTGACCCTCCCCTAATCCCCCGCCTCCGACATCCCCAGCCCCTGCCCCTGCTCTCATCTTTAAGAGTCAGAAGGGAGTCCAGAGTGGAAACAATTAGCTTGTTTGCACATTTCCATCTCCACCAGGCTCTTTGCTTACCCAAGTGCTGACTGTACTAACGTGTTTCACGGTGTTCTCCATCCTTGTGTAATTTGTCTCATCGCAACACCCAGAGCTAGTGCTTCTTCATCTCAGAGACCCCTTCACACTCAACCTCTAATTTCTTCTGCCTGGAGCTAGCTAAGCAAATGGCAAGGATCCAGAAAGTACGTTTAATTTAAGTAGCTGTTTAGGAATTTAGGGATTTTTTTTAACAGTACTTTTGAAATTATTGAGCTCCAGCTTTTATTAGGATGTTAGAGAACTGTAAAATCTCCAAGCTTCCTCTGGGGAGGTGATTAGGAGTTCAAGTTTGCATGGGAAGTGAGACCACAGAAACTACCTGGTGGGTCTCAGGGTTTTTAAATATAGATTTTACATCTCCACTTTCCAAGCTCCAGAAGTGGCTTGCAGTGTGATCGTCACAGAGCAGGGCTGTGTGAACAATCTGTTCTCTGGCCTTTTGACTGGCTTCCCTGGCCAGCGGATTAGGACTTTTTAGGGAGTCAATGGAATTAAAGTATGGAAAGAGCTGGTGTTTGCCAGACAAGCTGATTATTGTAGAATCTGTGAGAGCTTGGGGAGAGTCTCTGGATGGTTTTACATTATGTAATTCTTTCTTATTTTTGTATTTTGATGGACCTAAGGGAACCATAGCTAGAGGCCTTGATTTATTGTGACTTCAGGTCTCTGGGCTTCACTCCCTGTCTCTTGGACCGCTCACACTGCATAGGCCTGCCTCCCTTGGTGGGGCTGTGCCTGGCTGCCTCTGTTTTAGCTCAGGCATAGAAGAGGCAGGGGAAACAATTTAGCCTTATCTTCCCTGGAAGCTCCCTTCAGTTAGCAGACACCTAACATCTTATCTTTTAGTGACACCTTTACTTAGGTGAGAGGAGATCCTGGACCAAACAACACCACCAGGAAGTGAAGGGCAGAACAGTAGAATCCTTTTTCCTGTCTTTCACCCTGTGTTCTTGGTACCACCCTGTCTCAGCAGATGAACTTTGGCTCAACTCTGTTATTTCTATGGAGCTCTTTTGTCTTTGGCAGTAAATTTTCATCTTTCTGTCTTCAGGATATATGTATCATTTGGAAGCTCCAATGACTTCAGGAAATTAATTTTCTTAAATGATAAATTTTATGGTGTTCCTCCCTGAGATCAGGACACACACAATCTTCCCTGCTTCCTCCTCTCCCCACTTCTTGGCTTGTATCCCTCTACCACGATATCTGGTACTACCTGTTATTCAACCGCATTCTTTCTTATCTCTCTGCAAGAGGTCATGCTCCCTCCTGACACAGGCCTCTAAAGTGGCTCTTGGGGGACACTCCCATGTTCATTTAATCTGTGCCAAGTTCACTCTTCAGTAGAAAGTTTCTTAGCATTTACATGTTTTGTTTCTAAATTTCCAGAGACCAAATGCTATGTCTGTCACTACCTAGTGGCTGTATATTTTCAGAAAGTTTTGTTAATTGGCTCATAGGTGTATATTATTATCCTGGTGGGCAGATTTCCTATTTCTGGTCAGATATCAACAGGTTTGCTACTTTTCAAATCTTCCTTAGCACCAAGTTGAGAGTTGAATATTCAGTAGAAGCTCAATACATACATGTTGATTTAACTTGACAGTGCTTTTAAGACATTTTGTTTTACAAGTTTCTTGTAAAGATGATTTTACTACATAGATGGGTGCAAGAATTAAGGCTTTTGGTTTTTAAGACATCATATTATCAATTATAGCATTTATGTCAAATATATGATGTCAATTATATATAATTAAATATATCAAATATATTGTATATCGATCAATTATATTATCAAATATTCTTACTGAGATATAACTGATAAATAAAATGTATATTTTAAGATATATAACATGATCTTTTGTTACAAAATGCAATGTGAAATGGTAACAGGGAGGCTAATCAACACTTTCATTACTTCACATGACAACCTTTGTCTTTCTGAGGTTGAGAACATTTAACGTCTCCTGTCCTAGAAAATTTTAAGTATGCAATATTTAATTATAGTTAGCATGCTGTACATTACATCTTCAGGCCCGTTTATGCTCCTAGCTGAGCCTTTCCCTGTGAACAACAGCATCCCTGCTCTCCCACTTTCCTGCTCCTGGCAACCACCCTCCTGTTGTCTGTTGCTGTTGGGATCCCTTCCTCAGATTCCACATAAGGGCCAGGAATGTTGTCCATCTGTTCTTGGTTGACTTTACAGACAATAATGCGCTTCTGATTCATCTGTGTAATGCGATCTACAATATCCTGTTGCAGATACAACCCATATTTTCTTTATGTGTCCATCGATGGATATTTTGACTGATTGTGTATCCTGGCTGTTGTGAATGAAGCAGCAGTGACTATAACGATGCAGACAGATATCTCTTCAATGTTTTATTTCAGTTCGTTTGGATATACACCCATAAGCAGGATTAACATGTTAAATTCTTAATTTCTTTGAGGAATATTCATTCTTTTCATAATAGCTTTGCATTTCACTGGGCAATGTATCAGGGTTTCTCTTTTACCTTCTACATCATTTCCAATTGTTTTGTGATTTATTTTGCCATTTGGAAACAGCAGTTATAACAGAGATGAAGTAACATCACATTTAGTTTTGATTTGTATTTTCCTAGTGATTAGGATGATTATTAAACTTCATTTTTCCTTTATTTTTGAGAATTCATATCTGTATACAGTAGATTATGATCATGTCTAACCCCCAACTCTCCATGCAACATTCCCCGAATTCTCCAATCATGGTCCCTCCCAACTTCATGTCTTCTTTTGATAACCTGCTAAGTCCAGTTAGTGATGCCCAGATGGGCATGAGTGTGGGGCCACCTGCTGGTGCACAGAAAATCTGTCAACTATCATGCACTCAATAAAGAATTATGCTCTTATCTTTCTGGTTGTGTGTCTAGCCTTTAACGGCTGAGCCATCTTTCCATCCCATGGGCAAGAGCCAATCCCTGACACTATTAATGATACTCTGTTACCCTTAGTTAGGAGGCTAACCTAACTGTCCTCTGAGAGGCTCCACCAAGCAGCTTACCAAAATAGACGCAGAGACCTACATCCAAGCATTAGATGAACTTAGAGAGTCTTGTGGAAGAGGTGGAAGAAGGATTGAAGGACCTGGATGAGCAGGGACTCCAAAAGAAGACCAACAGAGTCAATTAACCTGGACCCTTTGCGGGGCTCCCAAAACTGAACCACCAACCAAAGACCATACACGGGCTAGAACTAGGCCTCTTGCATATATGTAGCAGATATGTAACTTGGTCTTAACGCAGATCCTCCAACAACTGGAGTGGATAAAAGGACTATCCCTCACTCTGTTGCTTGTCTATGGATCCTGTCCCCCTAACTGGTCTTTTTTGTCTGGCCTCATTGGGAGAGGAGGTACCTAGTCCAGCAATGACTTGATATGCCAGGGTGGGTTGGTATTCCAGGGGTCCTCCTCCTTCTAGGAGAAGAGGGGAAGAGGAGATGGGTTGTGTGAAGTGGGGATTGGGAGGAGAGAGGGGACTGTGATCAGGATGTAAAGTGAATAAATAATTAATGTAAAGAAGAATGATTGTCTCTCCTTAGCAACTATCTACTTCCAGTAAGGTCACTATAAATTGGATGGGGCCTACAGATCATCTCCCCAAATATGATGGAATTTTACTGGCTTGCCCTTGTATGGGTTTTATACAGGTAACCACAGTAACTGTGAGCTTATGATTTTGATAGCTATGTAATGACCAGAAGGCAGCATTTCACAGCACTCGCTTACCATCATATTACCCATCTCTTACACTCTTTCTGTCCTCTTCTGTGATGTGTTTTGAGCCTTGGTGATGATGGTGGTGGTGGTGGTGGTGGTGGGGATCAATATAGATATCCTGTTTTGAGCTGATCATTCAGTCTCTTATTCTCAGTTCTTTGACTGACCAGTTATGTATCCCTCCATTGACTACTGTCCATCA